AAGCCTCATTGACAGTACAACTGTTTATTATGATGGGAGAAAACTCTGGGTCTGTTCTATGATAATGAAATGTTATTAGCTTTGTTTTGGAGGTATTAAATGTTACGGGCCAGTTCCATTGAGCTGTGAAAGTAAAGTCAGAAGAGAGATCAGATGTTGGGGTGTGATCATTATAATTTTGGGGAGTACATCCATAAATTGTGGTATTGCCTGAATATATATTTACTAATGATTTGAGAATGTTCTTAGGCAGATTGTTAATATAAAGCAGAAAAAAGGTAGGACTGAGGAGATAGCTTTGGGTGATGCCTGCATTGAACGTGTGGATCTTAGAGGACTAGCCATTAAAAACAACCATCTTGGGCCTATCTGACAGAAAGGACAATTTAGAAGATTCTTCCAGATATACCATGGCTGGGGAGTTTGTGTAGCAGCCCCCTATTAAAAATTTTTCATATCTATCACCTATGTCTGTTCATATCTATCTATATCCCTCAATCTATCTGTCTATATCTCATCTCTCTCTTCATATCTCTCAATCTATCTATCTTTCTATCTATATCTCTATCTATCTCACTCAATTGATCTACTTATATCTACCTCAATATATTGATCTACCTATATCTATCTCAAGCTATCTATATATCTATATCCATCTTTCTATGTCAATCTATCTAATGGAGTTAGAACAAAAGTCAATATTGTGTGTACTAATAACATAAGAATTTTATGTTATCATGTAAATGAAACAATTTATCCAGCAATATGAGGTGGTATTGAAAAGTTTCATGTATTTAAAAATATGAAATTGTTCGAATGTCATTAAGTCTCCATTTGTATTTTTTAATAAGATGTTAAATAAATTATCATAAACTTTTCAATATCACATTATATTGCTGGATAAATTCTTTCATTTGCATGATACCATAAAATTCTTATGTTATTAGTAAACAAAGTACTGATTCATTCTAACTCTGTGAATCAATGTAAAAAGAAAAAAAAAAACGCTTTTTTACTTGCCTCTGCCACCAGACAATGCATGTGTTCATCCTGAGCCTCGATAAGTTCAGCCACATAATAATCTCCATATTTATCCTTTAGGGTTTCACTCATTGAGTTGAACAATGGAGTTACATCATCATTATCTTCCACTCTAAAATACATGTATGATATATTCATATAGCATATTCATGATATAACACTATCCATTACTCCATCACATATTAACCATATATATAAATTTGCTTTGCACAAGTGACCTGCCCTTTGGCAGATCACAAGTGCATGATGCCATTTTCCCTCTGGGAAATATGTCTTCATCAGATATAAAAACTATCTCCAGCTTACAGTTTTTGTGTTGGCAAATACCTATGACTTGCTATTTTCCATTTGAGAAATATGTCCTTGCCAGTGACATAGAAGATAAATCCAGCCCACTTGAATCTCCGTTTGAAAATTTAAATATGGCAAAGCATGTTTCTCATTCCTTTTCTTTCAGGTATTCAGTTCTGTCTATATGTATGTCATGGGTATGGTAATGCTCGTAATGAGAGAAGAGCAAAGAGAAAATATTCTTTTTCTTACATAGCACTTTCATCATGTTGTAGGTAACATCAATCAGGTTAAGTGACAAACCTTTACTTATATTAATAATTATATATATATATATATATATATATATATATATAAATTAATAAATGTTCAAATGACTTATTACTCAACCAACTTCAAGGTTTTGGATACATCAGGTAAATTTGTACTTTACCTATATAAAAAATGCCAATCATAGATACTCCAAACAAATTTCAAATTCAACATTTGAAATTTGTACTAGGCTAAAGTCTTTTCAAAATGTGACAACAATTAAATATTTAAAAGTATTATAATATGGCTATATTAAAATAAACTCATCAAATTCATCAGTGGTCACATAATTTGGAATATTATATACACTTAAACCATCATAATATTCAAGATTACTCTATTGAGATGCTATCCCTATACTCATCCAGATTAAATTGGAATTGTCATTCTCTGAGACTGGTTGCCAATAAATCAGTTCTGCTAATTTACTCATAACTGGGTGAGAAAGAGATGGATTCATGCCTTTCCCAAAAGCATTAAAAGAATTGTTTTCTTGTGACAGAATGGGAGAAGAGAGAATGTCTGCTCTCTTATCCTGAATGTTAAAAAAAATGCATACAATAACAAACAAAACACAAAATTACTACATGAAATTTGAAAGGTACAAATATTTATTATATTGACATGAAACGATATAGCAAAACCCAATTTTTACAAAAATCCTGGCACAAAAATTTTCTTTTGTGCAACTTGTTAGGAATAAGGAAAGATAAAGTAACAAAATTATAAAAATTATTGGCTCTAAAAAAGATTTACAATACTATTCCTTAGATCATGAAAGAAAAAAACTTTGAGAAGAAGATGTGAAAATTGTTGAAAAAAGGAAGAAAATACTATTTAGAAAAAGTTGCACTCATCTAAATAGAGAAACAAAAAGACTTTAGCTTATCCCACGATTGTCTCTGGGAACGTTAATGATATTTTGAAATGGCTTTCAGTTTTCTTTCTGCTTAGCTACTACATGCTTCACTGAATTTAAATTTATTTATTCTTTCTGTGAACTTTCTTTTCATGGTCAATTTAAAGGTTCTTTTTGTCCTTTTTTTTCATTGACATAGAAGTTGTTAGCATAAGTCCTTGAGAAATGATAAAAACTTGTAGCCTTTTGCTCCCATAACTACATTCACATGTGAACAGCAAAAATTCACAACTGATGTCTGTCTCTTCTATTGCCTCCCTGCAGCCAGTCAACCTCGTTCACATCTGAATGAAGTGTAATGTAATAGAGTCTGAAGATGAAGGGACTTGAATAACAGCTTTATTCCATGAGTAGATATACCAAGAACTGTTTTACAATTGCTGTGTATTCATGCACATGTAGTGAATGATACTACAAAATCTCCCCTGTTTAGTTATATGAATATACATATATGAGAATAGAATCCTAGTTGTTGATGGTAAGCTTCAACTTTACATTTACAAGGGAGGAAGTAACACCTTTTGATTAGACAAAAAATACAAGGGGAATATATATTTCTAAATTTGAAAAAATGGATCACTAACAGTCTATCATGACTGTTATTTTTGGCAGTTCTTTCTAAAGTCAATTCTAAATAAAAAAAAAAAAACTTTTACACACAAATGTAACAATTATTCACAAACCATCTGGCTTTGCTTCAATACATTTCTCCCAAAAGTAAATGTTTAAAACAAAGCCAGACTATTTAATATTTATTTGCTTATACGTTTTAATTATTATGATTGGTCAATAGATGAGCCAATGACAGTCCTGCCTTGTTTCTACTTTGGTGGACAATTTAGAAACTCTCTCTTTTGATGACTGACCCTGGAGCAGTAAAAATGTACCAAGCTGCTTTCTGACCAACAACAACATGCAAAAGTCAAACAAACATGTATATACCATTTGTACTATAAATATCTCTATTATATATATATATATATATATATATATATATATATATATTTGATATTCATGTTATTTTAATTTCACATTGTTTTTGGCCCATTATTAGAAGTGGAACTATATGGCGTATAATTGTAATAGTGTCTGCAACAAATTCATTGACATCATTAATAAGTATGAGTTTGATGAGCAGTAATGTAGGCATTGATATTTGGTTGGAAATTGGTGAGTTTTAGTTATGTTACAACAATTTATTTATCAACACCATTTTGACCTCTAGACACTTATCCAACCTCTTTTTATCAACCCCCTAGATAGTTCCATTGACCCCCAGGGACTCCTTGACCAAGAGGGTAAACATAAAATCACACATTTTCAAGCCCACTTTGTGTGTTTATGTATTCCATGTAAATTTTGTTTGCATGTGTGTGTGTGTGTGTGTGTGTACATGCATGTATGCCTTTGAATAATTATCTGTAAAGCATGGCAAATTGGCACAGATAAGAGAATATAGAGGTTAATAAATGAATACAAAATCTTAAAAGAAAGATATTAATCTGCTTTGGCTGCTACTTATTGTAAATTTAAATCTAGAATAGAGATATCACCAAAACAAACTGGATTCAACCACACATGAATTTATCTGTTTAAATCCTAAACTAATTTCATATTGCAAATGCCAAAATAGTCATGTATTTTATCACAGCTTCTAATTAAAAGACAAATTTTCACTTACCGAGCTTTTCTCACATAAAGAACTGGTGAATGCTCATAACGATATGTAGCAAAGATGGCATAATCCTTAGGTACTGTTGCATCTTCTTTTAATTTCAAAGGGCGAAAGTAATCGGCCAGTGTGGCATCTACAAAAGAAAAGTGAAAACAATTTCTTTATAGTAGCTTTACTTTACTTATAAAATAGTGAATAGAAATAAAATAATTTGCTGGTTATATTTGGGAATTGAAAGAGGCCAAATTTGGAAACTTTAAATTTTTTACACACCATGTTATTCAAACTGTATATGTGTAATGTTATCATACATTATTTATGAAACCATGAAACTTAATCTCTTATATGTAACATTACAATCTATTCAATTCCGAATTTCTTCAATTGCTGTAGGGTCATTATTATAAGTTTTTATTTAAACAGATACTGATAAAAATGTTTAGACCACAACTCCAAGTCATTGTCAATGAGAACAAAAATGCGAGTTAAAAACTGAAAAAATGTTTTTTTTTAGAGACGTTCTTTTGATAAAAATATTTTTCTGGTAAAATATCTTGACTGAGATAAGACATTATCAACCAATGAGATTTTCGTAAAAAAAATTTTTATAGTTGATGCTATATTATTTTTCTGGTTCAGGGTTAAAAAATAAATGTTCAAAAAAAAAAGGATTGAAGGATCCATTTCCAGTTTATGGAACCCATTCATTTTTTCCATTTTGCTGATGCTCATGAAAGGTGACCACTTTAACAACTTTAATGGGAGGAGGGGCTACATTTTTTTTTTAATAAATTTTCAAATATATAGTACTAAGATGTCAGTAGATGTAAAAGAGAAGACCTTTTGAAATCAAATTCAAACAGGAAACAAGGGATAAACCTTAACATCAAGGGATCACAAGATCATTTGACATCAAACAAGAAAAAGTCAAAGAAGGCACCAAATTCAATGAGCCAGCTGCTTTTGCAGAGATTAAGAATTTTGGTTTCTCTGCAATGGGGAAAAATTTTCCTATTGTTGAACAATTTTTGTCGGAAAAGATGGTATTGAATGGATATTTTTCAAACATTCCCTGTGCATTTTGCAAGGGACTTTTTTTGGGACTATATGTCCCAGAGACGTTCGTGGGGCAAGAAAAAAGTAGGTTTTCTTTTTAGATTTTACGTTATTTTTACTTATTATGTACCCAATTTTTTTTATTTTTTTCTCAAATTTGTGGTTAAGCACCTTTTTTTTTTTTTAACAGCTGTCATGAATTTTCTCTTTTCTTTTTCCACTATTTTTTTCAAAATTTTTATCTTTTTAAGCAAACTGCATATTTCGATTGAAATCTGGTTTCATCTGAAATTGTTTTCCCATTAGTTATGATAAACAGTATTCTGCAAGAATAGAATTTGCCACTGGGCCTTGTATTTGGTACTTTTTTTAATTGTCCAGAGTAAATAAATGTGTTTTTCCTTTTAAAATTTTATCATATTCATTCTTTGAGACTTATTTCAAGTAAATTAAACTGGTTTATTATTGGAATAGCCAATCCTAAGTTTTTTTGTTTCAGACACAAGAACTTGGGCTTTGGCAAATGGCCTAAAATTTTTATAACAGGCAAGTGACCTCATTTGGATAGAATAAATAATCCAAAATTGTGTTTAAAGCCTTTAGGTGAGCGATGGCAATTTAATATAGTCTCTTGATTATTCGCAGAATTTAAACAGATTCAGGAAGATGGTGATGGTTGTGTATTTTGGCCCATGAAAGAGGTACCCAATGTTAGCGTTTCTCCAATAATAAGGTGAAAGGTAACAACAAGCATTCTTGTAGCTAAACTAAACAATGTCAACAAACTTTTAAAAGAGAAGCTAGTATTTTATTCACGTCTGAGAAGGGAAAAAATTTACTTTTGCAACCAGATTTGGAAGTTTTCAGACATCTGTGTTCATTTTTATATGATTTTTTTTTTGTAGTTTTTAAATGCGATGTCATCAAGATTGCTGTTTACGTGATAAACGTTTACAAAGTTTGATAAACCCCATGTTTGCCACTATCATAGTTTTATGTTTCTTCTTAAGAACATTATGACATTAAAGGTTTTGCCCTGCTGAAAAAATCGTATTCCATTAACCAGAAGTCCTTGGGAGAAGTGAAAACAATTTTGACAGGTGATTTACTAAATGTGCCATGTCTATATTTTTTGACTGGTCCTGGGACTTCCGTTTAAAAAATTAGGCCTTTAAAATGTCGGAAAACCTCTGGATTTTTTTGGGGGATATCCACCCGAAGACATTGATGAGTTCATTCATAATTAACAAGTTTCGATAATTAATTTTGAATTTCGCAAAAAAAAAACAGTCCTTAGGAAATGTTAGAATTTAACATTTTTTTTCCATAAATTTCTGATTGACGGAGATGTCCGTTGTGACGTAAGTGGCATTTTTCCGCCTTATTAAGTTGATAGTGTCCAGATTGTTAAAATCTTCATAAAAAAGATGAAATCCACGAAATGGCATGAACGCCTGCTGAACCAAATAATGGGATAGATAATGAAAATTAAAAAACATTAATAAAGAATTGGGATGCGCGGTTTATCAACTTATTCAACGAATAAAGCAGTTTGATTTCAAATTCATTGAGATTAGTTTGTTTCTCTGGACAGCGTAAATTTCAGCATTAATAAATGATAAAAACACGGAAGTTAAATTATCGTTTTCCTTCCCAGCTATTGGTTATATAGTAGGGTAGACTGGATTTTAACTGGCCTGTGGGTGGTCTTCTTTTATGTATATATGGTCCCTTCAAACCCTCCATGGGGAGGGAATATCCCTCCCAGCTCTTAATAATTTTGTCTTTTTTATTTCTCCCCCCCAGACCCTGTCCCCCATCCAATGAAAATGTCAGATTAAAAATAAATTTATTCATTCTTTAGTAATTGCTTTGTTTATATTTTGGATACAAAATTGAGCAGATATGAGATTTTTTGAACAAGGGATGTTTTCCGTCAAGTATCCCAAAAATTTTCACATCAAAATTCCTGAAATTAAAACTTTCCTCTTTGTTTCAAAGTCAGCAAAATCTCCTTGTTGCTAATGTTCGTCCTATAATTGTCTAAAATCGAATTCCACTTTACCATTGAAGAACAAAATTGACGACAAAAACAAATTATTTATCTTTCCCACAGAAAGTTGCAAAATTCTCAGAAAAAAATAGTCAAATTAATTCAACATCAATCACGAAGTCTCAAAAAAAAAAAACAAAAAAAAAAAAAATTAAATTACAAGATCTTCAGGCTTTTATCATTGTTAGAAATAAGCTATTTGACTGTTAATAAATATGAATGGTAGAATAATATCTTTAAAGAAATAGTAAGAAAGAACAATTCTTACCTGGGTGTTTTGTCCCAAAAGAACAAAAATGTACATCTGGGACAAATTCTACATTAGAAAAATGTTTTCTCCACTACTTGTTGCATATTCAGGTTTGTCAATCAAAGAAATGCATAAATAATTTTTAAGGATGGATTTTGAGTCCTTCTAACCATTCTTTTGTTTCAGTTTTATTAATGTTTTCATTTTGAGTTTGTTTTCTGGGTTCCCATGGCCATCATTTAATAAATCCCATTGAAATTTTCATTTAAAAAACTTTATGGACAATGAAACAAAATTTTTTAAAAAAACATTATTATTGGTTTATTAATATTTTGCTACAAATACATTTATACTATATATTATATAGCACTTCTGGATGAGTTCTTGTGGTGAATGGGAAATTTCAATCAATGAATGGGTTATTCCAGAATGTCATTGGGACTTTTGGATAGCTACTGAAGATCAGTCCCCTCCCCATTTGACTGAATCAGGAGTTGTCACCTCCTGGTTTGCTTTTTTTCTCTATTATATGAATCCATAAAATTTCAACAGACATACTATATAAACTGTGTTTACCCATATCATAAAAATAACTATATTTTGTTAACTTCTTACTATTATTACAAGGTTTATATATGTGAGTCTTTATATTATTTCCAATTATAGTTTGGTTTATTGGTTTATTTTGTTTTACTACATATCAATGGGTTATTTAATGCCAACAAGATTTTTAGAATAGATTCATATGAATAGACTATGTATTCTTTGTAAATGTAAATCAGTTTTTTTTGAAAAACGTCCATTGACATATTTTTTTTAAAAAGGGTTTTTATCAGAGGCCTTGTATTGCTGGACGTATTTTTCTTCAAAAATTTCTGGTAATATTTTTCATAGTATTTTGACCCCAGTTTTAGGGTTCACTATTTGCCCATATCTGGAACCCTAACAGGTGCTTCCACCCCAGGTCAGAGAAGACATGGGAACAACAGCAATTAAGAGGTGGTTCTACACCCCTCAAAACCTCCTGTTCAGAGGCCTTGCTGACAGATGTAGTTTATCATCATACCCAGGACCTCCAATTATAGTATTAATGTATAGTAATTCTGAATGCATAAACGCAGTTTTATTTTTAACAATAATAATTTTAAACCCTACGTTTTCACCTTGTTTTAAATGACAAGTTTACTTATGCCATAAAAATATCATTCAGCTTAACTATATTATACATTATTAGAAAGTTTGGTTAATTTTAAATTTTACTGGTTTCGTTGATGTCTTTATTTCATATGGATCAGCACTTTCCTAAACAATTTCCCAAGAACTGCTCACAGTCAAAGCATCATATCCCTACCCTCTGTCTAGGATCCTATTTCTGGACATTCTTACTAACATCATTTTGAAATCTCAGTGCCATTAAAATCAGATGTTCACCAACACAAATTAATAACCATGAAAAATTACATTACTGCTGAAATACGAAAATAAACTTCTCATGATATATCTCAAACATAATTGGAAAAAAAAAAAAAAAAAAAAGCTGCTATGCAAATGATTGAAGTTTAAAACATTCCTGTCCTTTTTTACTGGTCAGTGCAAAAATCAAACTCTTCTTATCAATCTTCTTAGACACATTTTGGAAGCCAGTAAATCCTGGTTTGCTTAAGATTGGTAATGGTGAACTTTTCTGTATTTACTGGCCATTTATGTAAGGCAGTCAATCATGAGAAATAAATTCACATTTTAAGTCATTCTGATCAAGCAAAAGCAGTTGAAAAATCTACCACTTTGGACAACCATGGTAATTCCTACGGGTCTATCCTGGTCACAGCTACCAAATCTACCACTTCATCCCCAGCCCCACAACCTCCGGCATCTTCTCTTTGGGTTGAGGTGTCCACTCGGTCCGAACCAAACTTAAGGGTAGCTGGCCGTACGCTCCCTGAGTACCCATAGATTATTTCGACCAGTCAACTGGTCAAGTCCTGCTCGCTGCCCACGCTGTGTTAGTTTTTAGATCCAGAAAGCGGGGTGTTGTCCATACATTCACGGTCAACTGGGGATGTGGACACAGCTGTGAGAGTTGGCGGTAGGAAGTTTAGAGTGTGGTAAAATAAAACAAGAAATAATATCTGCAGAAGCCAGACAACAATGGGGGAAATATTGGTGTCTTTTATATAAGAAGATAACATCAGAACAGAGGTTACAAGAAGAATAAAAACATTTAAATGAGAAAAGAAAAAGAAAAAACAAAATGCATCCAGCGAATTCCCAACAGAGAGAGGGTTTGTGTCTGATAAATGTGTATTGAATCGCCTGGGGTAGGTTTATGACTAATAGTCCAGTCTCATACAGACTTCTCAGAACAGGGGTTAGTCTTCTCTCTCTGTCTGGCCTAGCAAAATTTTCCCATAATGGTTGCTCGGTGCTAACTGCGACGATGTCTCGTGACCAATCTCGTGGTCTCTCCCGTCTGGCCTTTTCCGTCTTGCTCGACCATCTGTCTCTTCTTCAGCATAACTAAGCATTTATGTAGATAAATCTGACTGATCATGAATTGACCCTTGGCCTGGCACACAATTATCATGAGTGCCAAAAACTATCCCTTGACATGTAAATCAATTCTCCAATTATTTACCTTATCTCAATCACGAGTTCTTCTCGCTTCACCAAAATTATACTTTGGGATATCTAAACATTGATTCAATCTTTTAATCAAAACAAATACTGTTAAACAAAACCAAGTATCTCGCTCATCCCCATTGTTTACTAGTGACCCAGATTTAAAACATCGCCTCCTGCCCTGAGATCGTATTTCTCATCGGTAAACACACATCTTAACCTGAATTGTACTTTGATATATAAATACCATTTCCACTTCCAGTCAATAAAAGTTATATTTGCATGTGTGTATTCATGTGAGTGTGTTTGTGTATAACTCTCTCTGTTACAAAAAGGAGAGGGGTTATTTTAAAAGTAAATTTTACTTTTAAAATAACCCCTCTCCATGTGTCCAGTATTACAGGTAGAGTATAGGGCAAGTTTTTGATGCAAGAAATGAGGAATCACACTATACACAGGTAATTTTTTGAAGAGTTTAAAACTCATGCATTTTTGATGATCAGTTGCACTTTACATGGATATCAATTGATTAAAATTAATGCAAAAAATTCATGAAATTGGCTTATAGATGAGTATATATGGTACTTCCTACCAATACCTTTTGAAAAAACACTTAATACCTTTGGGAAAGACATCCAATGTAATAAAACCTAAACAAATGATGAAAGTGAATTTATACATTTTTTGTTCTTGAGAATTTACAGCAAAAATATTAAACACTATTTATTTATTAGATTGTTTATTTACAAGAATAATTTTATACTTACAATATTCTAAAAGCTTCTACAATTGTATTAAAACTAATGCAATGAAATATCTATCAATTTTATGAAGAAATAAATATGAAAACAATTTTTTATTCATAAATTTAAAAACATTTACTAAATTATGAAAATATCACCCTTAAATAATAATAATAATGATTATAAAGAAGAATATGCTGGAAAACAGGAAAAATGGCATTTTCAAAAGAACAAAGATGTAAAAGATGCTGTAAAAACTTTGAAATGTAAATGTTACAGATTTTATTTAGAAAACAAAATACAATCTTTTTTTTCTCTTTAAGAGTACAAAAGATATCAGATTATTAATAGAAAATAGAATTCAGACTGTCATGATCTAAAGGTTAATTTTATCAATAACAAGACAGCATAAATCTATGTAAAGTTTACTAAAATTGCTCAGAGCTAGTAATAGATAAACTTAGAACAATGGCAATATAGTCAGGGTACTGAAAGATGAAACAAGTGTGAAGTTTTAATTTAGAAGAACATAAAACCCCGTAAGGACGTGAAAGTGGAAGATTGGGAGGCCAAGGCCAACCCCAACTGGAAGGAATGGGATATACAGTAGAGATTTTATAAGTCAACTCCAGGGCGGTACGGGCTGGTATGCTGGACCTACAATTAGAGGACACAATGCCAGAGACTGCCCCCAAAATTGGAGAGGTGACCCCAGGTCTCTAGGTCTGAATTACACTAAGTGCAGAAGTTTTGGCCACAAGGCAAAGTGGTGCACAGATGCAGAGGATAGGAGACTAGAAATTAAGAAAATAGACATCCTAGTACTCCTTAAAAAGAATAAGTGATCGAGAAACAACAGTGGGGTACCCGTACAGAAGTAAAGGGCAGAGTGGCCCCAATAAAAACAAGACCTCTGAAGTGCTGGTCCTGTGGTGTGGCTGGACATTTTGCAGTCAACTGTAAATGGCGTAAGTGCTGGCTATGTAAGATGGCTGGACACTTCAGAAGGAATTGTCCAGGAAGAAAAGGTGCTGAGAGAAGAAGGGAAGAAATAAGGGGAACAAGAAGACCAGTCCCCACCCTACCCAAGAGAAGCTGGCCTAGTAGTGAACAATGAGCCCCTATTGCCAGTACCCATGTTGAGCTTGAAAAATAGGGATAGCTAGCAGGGAAATAAAAATAAGGGAAGACTGAGGAATAGGGACAGAGCCTAGATATTTCAGCTATTTAAAGAGGGGCCAGACTTTACCTGTAATGTGTTGATGGGGCACAAAATAGTAAAGGCATTAATGGATACTGGATCATCGGTCTCCTTAATAAATTCCAAGGTGTTTAGACAGTGGATTTATTCATTAACCAGGCAGATAGTAGTCAGATGAGAATAGAGGGTATGACATGGCTACCATTCAAATTGGTGATGAATACAGGTGAGCTTAAGGTGTATGTGGCACCTGATTTGTGCAGAGAATTAATTTTAGGGAGTGACTGACTTAGGCTGAATAAGGCCCAAATCTGCTTTGACCTGGCTACATTGGTTTTGGGAGGAGTAGAGGTTCTATTAGGGAACAAAGTGAAAAAGAAGTGCCCTATAGTAGCCCAGACCAAGGTGAAGCTTCCTCCTAGAATGGCTGTTTCATGTGAAGGAAGGATAGATACAGTGAAGAAACTAATGGAAGGGTTATATCAGATAACACCTACAGAGAGGTATGATAATGGTGAAGAAGAGGTGACCTTGTGCAGTTCCATGGTAGAAGGGATGGAAATGGCGCCCCTATTGCTGGCTAATAAAGTCAATAAAACTATTACAATAAAACAGGGAGAAGAGTTAGGTTACGCCTGTCCGGTAGAAATTATGAAGCAAGTGGGAGTAAGCAAGAACTATGAAAGAAGGGTAGAGACTAGTAGCCCCAAAATAAAGGAAGAAGGCTTGATAGTGCCTGAAAGATATAAACATGAGATAAGGAAAATGATAGAAGCTAATCGAGATGTGGTAGCTAATACTGACAAGGAGTTAGGACAGAATGGGACAGTGCAAATGAAAATAGATACTGGCGACCCCCCTCCATTAGATTGAGGGCCTATAGGACTTTGATCCATAAGAGAAAATTAGTGGAAGAGGCAGTATATAACATTTTCTCTCCAGCCCCTCAACCTCTGACGTCTTACTCTCTGGGCTGAGGTATCTACTCGGTCTTAACCAAACTTAAGGGAATGGCCGTAGGTCCCCTGACCCTCCGTAGATCATTCGACCGGTTCACTGGTTTATCCTGCTTCCTGCCCACATTGTATTTGGTTTGATCCAGAAAGCAGAAGTGATGTTCATCCATTCATGGTCGACTGAAGATGTAGACACGGCTGGAGAGTCTGCGCAAAGAAATTTAGAATGCACCAAAAAAATATATATATCTGCAGAAAGCCAGATAAACAACTTGGTTGAACAATGGTTGAATTGTTAATGTCTTTTATATAGCAGAAAAGAATAGTATAGAAAAGAAACGGGTTACAGAAAAGAAAAGTAATTGATGTAAAAACTCATACTCTAGATTCTAGACAGAGAGAGAATGGGTTGTGATTAACTTGTTAAATCATCTCAGAACGATATACAACTCTTGCGATGGAGAGATAAAAATTTCTGTGTGTTGATTAAAGTTTATAGTTGCATTCCTCCTCGGCAGTAGTAACAGTAGTAGTAATCTTCGTGGTAGCAGAAGCAGCAGTACTTATATTAACAGTACATGTTAGCGGAGGTTTTGTTCCTATCCCTGACGTCACTTTCAATCTCCGACATCTCTCCACCCAGCTCGACTGCACTCAGCGACAGATGAGCCAACCACTCTGATTATTGTAGCTTGTGCGACGTTTCCATTTTCAGTGGTAGTAATAATAGTAGCAGTAGCAGTCTTAGGTGTTGGAGGAGTAATTCGCTTCTTCGTACTTAGATCAACAAAATATGTTAGAGGGCGTTTGGTTCCAATCTCTGACGTCACTTTCAATCTCCAATCTCTCTCCACCCAGCTCGACTGCACTCGACAGCAGACGAGCCAACCACTCTCTCCATCTCTCCTCTAGTGCCGCAACCCGTAACGGTCGCTGCGGGTGCCCACACGTGACAGCACACACAGCGATGATGACGTGCCAACCGATCGTGGCCTCTCCCATCTGCCTCTTTCGTCTGCCTCTTCTTCAGCATAACTGCACGTTTATATAGATATATCTGGTTGATCATAAATCGACCCTTGGCCCTCATGTGATTATCATGGGTGCTGCCTTCAACCCCAAATCATGTGAATTTCAAAGTTCCTCATAGTTTTAGTAAGCTCTATTTTAAATTTTAACTGATAAAAATTATTTCAACCATCTCCCATTGTCTTTCTAATGACCCAATTCCAAATGGGTGAGATCAGATTTCCCATCAGTAAACAAAATTGTTCTGATCTAATTTTGCTACTCAGATTCACTCCAATTTAAAAAAAAATATACATGTGTGTGTGTTTGTGTGTTTCCCAAACTCTCTTCTCCGTCACATTTCCTCCCCTACCCATCTGTTATTTACTAGTAAATGACACACAAGCTTTCCTATCAACAAAATATGAGAAAACCCAGTCCAACATGCTTCTTACTAGGGGACTACTTAAGCATACGTCTCTTCCCGCATGCAAAGGTAGAGTCCTCAGTTCTTCTTAGGGCTCATATGCCCATTTACATTTTCATTGTCCTTATGATACATATGTACATGCAACTTCCGGTTAACGTTCACTGTTGTGGTGATCTCATGCAGTAGAACCTTTTCACATAGTTCACTAGTTCGAGTGTTCTTTCCCTTCCCTTTTTTTTCCAATTATCGGAGTTCGCAACACTCCTTACCAATTATTTCAGTCTCATTACAAAAAAAGAAAGAAAAGAAAAATTCAATTTATGTTATAAATCTGTCCCTCCGATTTTGTCTCGCCTTCACAACAGGCTTTGTCGAATCTTTTGTTGGTTCAGGTTCTTCCACGACAATCGTGGACTCTTCTCCAATATCAGTTAGGGGTCCCAATGCACTCAGTTCAGACCTACCTTGATAAAGTGCACTAACTGGAATCCCTCCTTCACTCATGCACTCCTGTGCCAGTTTATTCTGCCTAGTCGACAACCTCGCACACCTCTTCAACCACCACCAAACTATCAAGGCCATGACTATCATTATTATAATTCTCACAACAGTCAGCCAGGTTATTATAGCAACCCAATTCTCTCTCCAGCCCAAATTCAGCATACCTATCTTATCTAACTCCGACTTCAACTGTCCAAGATCAATCTTATCGATTGGCCTTAACTACACCAGCATCTTTTCTAGTGACATCTTAGGAATCTCTCTTACAATGGGTTCCCACAATCCCATCCATCCACTGGCATTCATTCCTACCAGCTTTAACAAAGCCTCATTCTCTTCAAACTTCTCTTCTGCTTGATAGTAGGGGGGGTAAAGAGATAGATGGACCATGAGCTCCACAACCAATGGGTAGCTCTACGAAAAACAAAGGGGGAATAACTCTTATCGTAGTGGTGGGCTTCCTTTCACACACCTTAGATAATTCGATCTATTCTTGTGTGGCCACTGCCCAAATTCCGTTAGACACTGGTTGCTTTAGGTAACATTACACTAGCCAACACCTCTACCTGACAATGATCTCTAATTTCCTTCTTATTTTTCTAGTACACACAGATTATGACTACCTGTCACGTAAATTGGACTTACAGACCCACAGATACCTAAGGCATCATTTTTGCATTTTTCTGCTTCTCCCTTTGTTAATAGCATAAACTCTGTCCTGGCTAGGTTTAGGGCAACAAATTCCATCTCTACCTTGTACCTAGCCACTGCTCCTATCTTCGGCCTTAGTTTTGGGTAGGGAAGGGGAAGATTCAACACCTGATAAATTTCAAAGGTACTATCACTGTCCAGTAATGGAACCGATACTAGCACTAGCAATTTATCATCTTTCAACAAGTTAGTACATTCCAAGGTGCTATAATACCCCCATAACTGCTGGGTGGGGTCTACAGGTAATCTAAGATGATGGGATAGTTTGGCTTGTATCTCCAGCAGTACTTCCCTTAATCATTCCGGGGTTATTATACTCGGAGACAGGTGTCTCAGCGACAGCATGTCCAATTGTGCTCTCACATGCTCTAACAACACCATTAAAGAGTGACTTGTTTGACGCACCTTACTCATTATAGCTAATAATTGAAAATACCTTTGCAAAAACCCCTCTAATTTCTGTAATTCAATTGTTACTGATGTGGTTACATTTATCACTTCCTTTCTAAAAACCCGTAGGTGGGAAATCAACCAAATGATACTCCCTCTATTCTTAGTCAATTCCAGCCTAGTAACATTGAGCATAGATACGCTCTCTCTAACCAACTGAGCCATTGCTTTTTGTCTCTGTTCTACCACCTCTAATTTCCTCTTAATTACTCTCACTTCGCCTTCGGAGACTGTACCAAACAGCACGCTTAATGCCTTTCTCAGTATAGGTAATACTGCCCTCTTTTGCCTGGTCTGTAACAACTTTATTCCTTTCAAATAGTAACTCATATCCTTCCATTGTCTCTGAAGTATTAGGGATTCCTGAGCTAAGGGGTATAATATATGGTGGTATTCCGAAGTCTGTAAATAGTCTCCGACAACTTGGGTCCTGGCTGTATCTAGTTTGTCCACTTCAGTCTTCAACTGACACAATAACTTCTCATATGGCTGCAGGTCTATCACCGAAGTTATTACTTTGATCTAGTTATAATCATTTCGCTAGTCTTCTTAAATACAGTATTCTCACTGTTATCCCAGGTATTAGCTACCACAACTAGCATCGTCAGTACCATGAGCCTACTCTCGTCTATGTCTGCAAAGAGATGGAGAGAATAATTCATCTTACTCAATCATTTTCTTATTGTTTTTAGTGGGTGGTTACATCTTAGAGTGATACTTCAAGCACCGACCCACACCACCACTAGCGCCGTGCATGCATGAGGCCGTCCACACCATTCACCAGCACCGATGATAAATGCACAGTTAGTCCCAGACTGTCACTCATTCACCACAGCCACTGTACTGGTTTCACTTAATCCTTGGCTGCACTGCTCCCCTTAATTGCAGTTTTAGTGATAATTCCTCATTAACACTAGGTGCTTTTTCAGCCTACAATTTTCTCTGCAATTGAGCTAACAGAATCTCTTCCTCTTCTTCCCATTCACTGTTCTTTTTCCTCCCTAAGGTTAGGCTCAATCCCTGCTTCCTCAGAATGTCCCGCTGGGGTCCGATTTACCTCCCTCAGCCTTCGAAGGGTAGTTGGGCTAATTTCAATCTCCTCACTCCCTTCACTTTCACTCTCAGTCTCTAACCCTTCAGGTTCTACCAATATAGTTTTTCTCAGCCTTTTCAGTTGAGTTTTTGCTTCGGCTCCTTTCCATTCTCCTATTTCAGCTAGCTTTATATCATTCGCATACACTCTCTTTACCTGTCTGGTCAATTGGTCCCAGATCACAAAGGAAACCGGTCCCGTCTGTTCCACAATCCTATAGTATGGACTCCATCTCTGGTCCAATTTACCTTCTCTCATGTGTATTTTATAATACACTGGATCACCTATCTGGAAGGAAACTTCTTCTCTATTTTTATTTACTCTATTGTTTCGCCTTTTCTGGGCTCTTTGAATCCTCCGCCGCCTCACCTGCATAAAAATTTTATGCTGTTGTTCTAAAACTATTTGGTGATGATCCTCTCCTAAATACTTCCTCCTGGGTCATAACAGATTGTCTATAGGTAAGACTACATCCCTGCCATATAATAAGTAATAAGGGGAAAATTTTGTCGTCTCATTCATCGAGAATCTCACAGCTGCTAACGCTTGGGTTACAAATAAATCCCAATTTTCCCTATTATCCTCTGTTAGTTTAGCCAACACATCAGTGAGGGTCTTATGAAATCTCTCTACATTAGCATTACTTTGGGGGTGATATGGAGAGGTGGTTATGTACTGTATATTTAATTCTCCTAACATCTCTCTCATAATCTGATTCACATTCTCCAATCCATTATCGGAAACCAACTGTTCGGGGGCCCCATACCTAGGGAATATTTTGTTCAGTATTATATCTGACACCGTTCGTCCCTTCTTATCCAGTATGGCAAATGCCTCAGGCCAATTCATCAGCCAGTCCACAAAACTCACTATGTAAAGATTACCTCTATGTGTTTCTCCATAGGGCCCAGAAATATCCATGCTTACTTTCTGAAATGGATAATTCGGAATATCCATTTCTAATATTGGGGCAACCCTACTCCTTTGACTCTGTACTTGGCATGTTACACATTTTTTCACATGGTTCACAACATTATTAAACAACTTAGGCCAGTAGTAATTTCTCATTATTAATCCATACGTCTTATCAATTCCCAGGTGTCCTAACCTCTTATGGCATTGGTCTAGAATTTCAGCTCTCAACTTCTCAGGTATCACCATTTTTAAACTTACTTCCTGTTATGGGGTCCTCCCCTTTTTCATATAAGTGGACTCGACCAGAGTGTTACTTGGACTGCTTCCGTTAAATACCCAGAGTCAGTCAGAATATATATATATATAGAGAGAGAGACAGAGATTGTGATTGAGTTGGAGGTAGAGTAATAGTGTGAGGTAACCGCTTAGAAGTCACAGTTACAAGCACGTAGACTCTAAGGAAGTCCTACTTCGAGACTGTATATATATATCATTATTATTGCTACTAACCGCATTCCTGGATTTACTAACAGTATTACCCATTGTATTATTGTGTAAATACATTTATTTGTTATATTTAATTCTTGCGTTTGTCAGTCATTGGAGACCAAATTTTATCTCGGAATCCACAACACTTCCTCATCTCTTCCTGAAAGGTAATACAACACTCCATCATGCACCATATATTTGGAGATACGCCCTGCCTCTACCATGGACCTGATAGTTGCTATCTTGCTATCCTCTTGGCTTTGCCTAATAATATATCTCCAGTGGGGGTCGGAAACGATCTCCGTTTCACTCATTTCCTGATCTTCCCAACCAAGTCTCTCCTTCAATGCCTGTGAATTGATCACATTAATTTGGAATGCTTTATCATCCACACCTGGCTCCAACCAGACAGATTCGGTGTCTAATTGCCTCGGAATCCTCGATAACAGGTCAGCACAGGTATTATCCTTCCCTGCCAAATGTTCTATTCTCCAGTTTTACCCACTTAACTTCAATGCCCACTGTTGTATCTTCTTATTTGTTCACTCCACCTCTAACAGATATTTGAGGGGTTTGTGGTCTGTTTTAATGGTAAACATAGCCCCACTCAAATAATAATCTAATTTCTACACAGCATACAGAATGGCAAATGCCACTTTTTCTCTTAATGGCCACCTTTGCTGAGTCTCGGAGAGCCGATGGGAGAGAAAATAAATTGGCACTTCCTCAGGCACACCCGGTACCGGTCCATCCTTATCAGGACATGGTTGTGTAAGAACTACCCTGATACACTTATCGCTAGCATCAGTGTACAGCACCATGGGCTTACTCACGTCTGGGTAGGCCAACAGGGGTACAACTGTCAGCTGGTCCTTTAGAGCCTCGAATGCACACTAACAATCCTCGGTCCACTTAAACCTAGCATGTTTCTTAGTTAGAGCTATTAAAGAGCCTGCTAGCCGACTAAATGCTGATATGAACTTCCGGTAATATCCGATGGCTCCAATAAATCCCCTAATCTCTCTTACGGTCTTCGGTGCGGGCATGGCTCTTATAACCTCAACTTTGTCTAAATCCGTTTTTATTCCTTCTTTGTTTATGATGAACCCTAAGTACTTTGTCTCTTCTTTCATAAACTGACACTTCGATAATTTTAATTTTAATCCACGTTCTCTTAACCTATCGAACAGATGTTCAAAATGCTCCTCCAGTGATTTTGAAAACACCATGATGTCATCTAGATATGCCATGGCAAAGGCCTTAGTGCCATTCAATATGATGGACATTAACTGACTAAATACACCTGGGGTGCTTGCCAGCCCAAACGGCATAACTCTAAAATTGAAGAGACCCATGTGGCAGGTGAAAGTGGTCTTTTCCTGATCATTTTTGCTAAGTGCTACCTGCCATAATCCCGACTTCAAGTCCAAGGTGGAAAGACATTTAGACTTTCCTAAAAGAGCTAGAATATCATCAATCAAGGGGAGGGCCACTGTCAGCGGTTTTGTAATGGCATTTAATTGACGAAAATCCACACAAAACCTATGGCCTCAATCCTTCTTTTCAACAATCACTATTGGAAAACTCCAGGGAGATTTGGATCTTTTGATTATCCCTGATTCCATCATTTCATGCACTGCGTTCTCTACTAATTTTCTTTTGTGGATTGGGGTCCTATACGGTCTTAACTTAATATGTGCGTGATTACCCGTGTCTATCTTCATTTTGACTGTCTCCGTCTGTCCCAATTCCTTATCAGTAATGGCTATTACCTCCCGATTACCGTTCAGCAATCCCCTCAATTTCCTCCTATAATGCTCAGGAGCTGTTATATCTTCATCCCTTATTTCATTGCTACCTGTCTTATTCCCAGGCCTATTCTCCTTCCATACTTTCACCTGTTCAACTTCTCTCACTGGGCACGCCTGTGCCAGCTCCTCTCCCTGCTTTATTTTAATAGTTTTATTGGCAGTATTGGTTAACAGTAAGGGAACGTTCCCCGACCTTTTCACCAATGAATCACACATGGTTATTTCCCCTTCACTATTATCATACCTATCAGTAGTGACCACTTGGTACAGGTCACTGCTCAGCACTCGTTATAATCTTGCCCTTCCCAGATACAGTAGTCCTAGGGGGAAGCTTTATATCTGTCTGGGCCACCACTGGCAATTGTTCATAATTATCCTCTCCCAACAGTATCCCTACCTCGTCCAATGTTAGGGTAGCAGGGTCAAAACGGATCTGTGCCTTATTCTGCCTAAGCTAGTCACTCCCCAAAATTAGCTCACCACACAAGTCAAGTGCCATATAAACCTTAAGTTTACTTCTGGTTCTTGCCAACTGGAAAGGTAACCACGTCATACCCTCTATCCTCATCCTGCTACTATCAGCTTGACTCATTAGTAGATCGACAGGACTAAGCTTCGTTTTCAGTCCCAACTGTCTAAAAACCTTGGTGCTAACAAGTGACACTGTAGCTCCAATATTGACAAGGGCCTTCACCTCCTTGTCTCCCAGCAACACATTACAGGTGAAGTCTGGCCCTTCCTTCAGCAAATGGTATACCTGTGCCTTTCTCCTTCCCATATGTTCTTTCCATTCCACCCGCTTTCTCAACAACCGAGACATGGGAGTCGGTGACAGGAGTTCACCTTTTTCTAGGGGCTCCCATTTCTGTCTACGGGCCCTCCTGGGTGGGGTAGAGCTCGGATGACTCTCTTTTCTCAGACTAGCAACCCATTTCTCCCCTCTTTTCAAGTTAGGGTTGTTCCGTTTGGTGTGGTCCATCTTTCTCCTGCGAGGACAGGTTCATCTCAGGTGACCTGCTCCTCCACAGCGCTAACATCTTCGCTCCTTACAACTTGCTGAAAAGTACCTGACCACACCACATGTCCAGCATCTCAGAGGTCCTTCTTGCACTGGGGCCACTCTGCCTCTTACTTTTTTACGGGTGACCCATCGGCATTTCCCAGATCCTTTTGGTCTAAAAGGGACATAAGGAGGAAAAGAGAAGGAATATATATTTGCGGAAAGCCAGACATTAACAATTCAACCAGTGAATAGCTGTTTGTCTGGCTTTCCGCAGATATATATTTTTTTTTTTGGTGCATTTTAAATTTCTTACCACAGACTCTCCAGCTGTGTCTACATCTTCAGTCGACT